TTTCGACCAATCCAAATGCAATCTGAATAACTTGAAATATTATCTAAATCTCAATAAACAGTTTTAATACATGTATTGATAAATACAAGCTTGTGTTGTATCAACATTAATTTTACCTGTACAAAGTCACGTATTGTTCACTCTTCAGTCTTGATGGTTAAAATAAGGATAGTGTTGACATAACTTGTGATCAGATACATGCTTTCTTACCTAATCTGCTGCATTTCTTGTATGAAGTGAAGCTTGACCCACAAGTCATGCTATCCATCATCTTTGAATAAAACATCACCATCAAAGCCATGTAAATCTCACTGCAAATCTGCTTTGAACTGGGACCATAGAATATGGAATGACTTTTAATTGCACTGACTAGACTAGTCTTTCAACAATTACAAAGTTTGAGAAATGTTTTGGATTGCTTTGCCATCTTGAGAACAGATTACATGTACATGTACTTGCTGTGAGCTTCATCGCAGTGCACAGGCATAGACACTGTTCATAGCTTTCTTCCTAGATGTCTTTTCTTACCAATTTCCACTTTTCCCTTTTTTTTATCTTAACCAGGAATTTTATTTCTAATTACAAGACCATCTTAAGAGACCCCTGCCCAGAAGATGGTCTCAGTTGTGTTCCTGGTAACCCTGTTTCTATTTTGGTCAACAAGCTGAGAGGTTTCTCAAATCACAATGTCAGTGATGCAAATGTTGGACCATTTGGCAATTACAGCGATTCAGACGTAGCAGTGGGTAGTATGAATCTACAAGCTGAACAGGTGAACACTGAGGGAGAAGAAGTTCTAAAATCTCAGAAATCATTAAGAGATGCCAATGTGCCACTTTCAAGCAGGGTTCTTCGAAAGCTTCAAGCAAATTGTCATTCCTTTCTTATTAGTGGTACTGAGCTTGACTTCTTTTCTCCATCCTCCTATAGTCATCCCATTAGACATAAAATTGTGGCAGGTCAGACTTTCACAGAGCCAACAACAGCTTCCAAAATGAAAGCAGATGTGGATGGTGTCCTACAAGCATTCACCAGGGAAATTTGTTCTTCTCTTGAAGACTTAAAAAGAGAAAGTGGTTGTCAAAGCTTATCCCAAGAAGACCCCCTTTCTGATACAACTTCAGTGGGCTTTGAGACAGTCCAATTAAAGAGCAAAAGGCAGATGAAATTTGAAAATGCCAGAAATGCAGCTAGTGCAGGGACTGGATGTGAATGCGAAAATCTAGCTGAGCAAAAGAAATGCATTTTTTGTAGGTTGGAGAGCCACTATCTTGGGCATAACATCTCTCCACAGGTTTCTATCAGCAACCTTTTTCAAGCTTCCACGCAAATTAAACTCTGTCATAATGAGAGGCAGTTACTAACTTGGGGTTTATTGGATTCTGACAAATCTCCACACATTTGCTGTGGTTGGCTGATTGAAATTGACATTGATAACTTGGTTATGGCTTTGTACGGGATTTCTGATATACGACTGCTGTGGTCAAGGGATGAAAGGTTTAAAGATCAGTTTTCAGGCCTAGAGGTAGGGCTATTACACGTCTTTCACCGTCCATTAATTGTCTATCTGTTTGACACCATCCAGTAGTATTAGTATTCATATACTTGTCTTATTTGTATTCTTAATATACACTAAACATTAAATTTTCTCTGTTATTTAAGTTGCTAATTAAAACAACAACAACAAAACAACAAAAACTTTTTCACCCCCACAGTTAGGAAAAAGGTATGACAATGTTATAGATTGAAAACAAAAATGATTGGGTGCGGGCTACCCAACGTAAACCAAGAGTTAAAAATGCCTGGCAGCCAGTTAAAAGGTATTTTACATGTTTAGGTCAAGACACAAACAAACAAACACACATGCACACAGTAAAAATGTAAACACTTTCAGTTGGTAGTGTTAAGTTTCTTATGTACGTGTTGTCATTCTCTACATGTTGTAATGATTCATCTTTACCACAAGGACTAAACCATCTCTACCATGTCCTGTACTACAGTGTGTACCATGTGGTTGAGTTTTGATAAAACTGGAGCCAGTTCCTTATAACTTTTCTATTGTCGAAGTATAAAATGGTTGTTCCAAGTTTAAAGCTCTATCATTCAATAATATTTTAGGTCAGTCAGTTTCAAGACCTTGGGAAAGAGTTTGTGCCATTCAGTCTCTTTTCTCCTATCTACATCCATGACATACGTTTTTGGATGACTGAACATATGACAGAACAGCAGTTCCTTCAGGATATCTATGAAACCAGGCAAGGATGTGTATGTGATGTTTGGTTCAGTGAATGTTACCATGATACAGAACAGGATAAAGTGAGTTACAATTACCGCATGGTTTGCAGCTCATGTGACAGACCACTGAGCCATATCCAGACAGTAAAAATGCAAAACGTATTAAGGAAAAAGCTCTTAAATTGTGACTTTCAACTCAAATAACAACTTGCATGTCTAAAAAAAACAAATGCATTGGCATTGAGTGTTAGTAAAATATTTTTTTACTATAATTTTAAGATTACATCTTCATGTAATTTGCGATATAATATTAGCTACCAGGTTTCAAAATTTTATCAAGTTTATAAGCATTTTCAAAATTGCTCCAGGACAAAAACTTTTGTTGATTATAATCTGATTATTTATTTATTTTTTATTTGTTTATAAAAGTCAGGCAGTTTATTATTGTTCTATAGAAGTTACAGTAACAAGATTAAGTGATTGATTGACCATTGACTAAATTATTAATAAATAGTTTTGGGTCTGATGTTTTTTTATTATTTATTTAATAATAAACTTTATTGGTATTTAATCGTAAGTTGTCAAAGTCAGATGATTTTTGTTTGGTTATAAAAGTAAAGCAGCTAATTGTTTGTTATTGAGTAACATGATTGAGTAATTGACTGACCAACTACTTTATAAATTTATAAATAATTTTTGATTTGATGTTGGTTTTATATTATTATTTTATTTAGTAATAAGCTTTTTAGTATTTAAATCCTAACCTGTTAGTCACATTATGTTTCAAATCAGTATATTTTTTCCTTTTGTATATACATACATTTGAAAACTAATTAAAAGGTCCTGAAAATTGGAATACTGTGCTATTTCATATTATTGTTGCGTGCATCATTATTTGATATCATCGAAGAGCTTTGAGAAATGTCTGAAGACTTTTTGTTTCCGGAGCTTCCATTAGCTGACTACATAATTATTTAAACATTCCCAATGGCCTCCACACAACCAAAAGACAGATATGCCAATAAAATAACATCTGTTATTTAATGTTAGGAAATAGTTATTAGGAAATAGTTTGTTGGTTTTTAACTAAATTATATTGTTAATTATATTGTTAGACTTTTTTAATAGTTCAATAGAAAATAGTTAGTAGGTTATTAATTATATTAAGTGTCCCCAATTAGTAGCAGGTTTTTTCACCCATCGGCTAGATGTTAAGGCACATTAATATAAAGTTTATGTATGTATGTATGCGAGAGATGCCCTATCAATAAACAGCAAAAATTCAAAGGGAGAAAATGTTCAGTATTGCAATGGTACAATTTATTATTGTCCAGCCCTTAACAGGTGGGAGTGCAGCAGTACACAAAAAGCACCCATCAGATTATTGAGTCACTTGTGTGTTTAATAAACTCCATACAAACTTACATCCAAATACAATTCAATACCATTTGACATAACATTTAACACCTACATACAAAACAATCTATGGACGAACAAACAAAGCAAATAAGACAAATGTGGGTCAGTTTTAATATAAAGAAAATTCTAACTTGGCACAAAGGCTTAGGGGAATAAAACAAACGAAATTATTGGTTTATTCCTCAACCTTGCTGTGATTCCATTTGTTTTATTCCCCTAAGCTCCAGCAGCACGGTACAATTTCAAAATCAAAATTAGTCCATTTGATATTTTTTTTGTAAGTGACTCTTTACAGACCTTTGCAGGACCATCTTTGGATGACTGCTATGGGACGTAGTGTCATGATCAGTGACCCCACACCTGTGCCCACAACTGTAAATTTGACATGTTTATGTTGCAGGGTCTTTGCAAATGTCTTTGCACAATAGTAAACAAGCATGTAAAATATGAACTTGAGGAAAAACAGCAAAAAGGCTTAACCCTTGACTACATTGTATTTGGTTGTTTCAAAGGCAGTTCGTGCCACTGTTCTAGCCTTACCTAGAGGTCTTATTCCAAAAATTATGCTTTATTCACATACGGTTTATAAAATGGTTTCAAGGAAAGGAAAAAAATTCCTAGAAATTAAAAGTACAGAACTGTGCAAACTTAAACTGGTATCAAACATTCATTGGTGATTCACTTGTCATTGAAAAAGAGAGTCTTAGGTTTTGTCAGTTTCCAAATGCTCTGTGTTAGCCTGTTATTTGTTTTTCCTCCTAATGACACATGCAGATCACACACTGAATAAGCTTTAAAGACTTGAGAGGAAATAAGTAGTAAAGATTTAAACTACCATGGCCTTGAGTATTCAGGTCCCTATTAACATACATGTAGAAACATTTAGAATTTAATGTCTGGATTACTCATGAAAACATTTTTGTGATTAAATACCTAATATAATGAAATGGAAGAGATGACAACCTATTGTTAGAGAACATCTGGCATTATCTTTTTATTACTAGTTTTTTTGGTCTGAGAAATCAAGAGTGACCATAAAGGACATTGATGCTTTAATGTTTACTTAATAACTTTCTTTACCAGAGGTTTTCCAATGCCTGTGTGATCTTTTTTGCATACAGTCAGTGTGTGTTTATAGCTGACACTATACACAGTATTTACAGAACATGCAATATGTGCAGTATCCAAGTCTGAAATTGAGATGAAGGGATGACTGTTTTATAATCACTGTACAATTACCTTGCATAGTAAGTAATGGCAGAACCAACTACTAACATGTGATATGCTAGTTATCTATTGTTGCTTGTGTAAAGCAAAAGCACAATGAAAAAGATATAGAAGTGTTTATTTTTATTGCCAAAAGGGTAAAAGTAAGTTCCTTTGCCAATTGAAAGAAATTCAAAAGTGACCAGTGAAAATTACTAAAATGAAGGAAAACTATATTAACATTACTGAAATTGTTTTCCACAAACGTACACCGTTCACTATTAATATTCAGACTTGGCTAACTAAATATACCAACATAAAAACATTATTTTAAACAATACAAGCACTTCTATGCTTTATGAAGTTTGTCAAAATGCCTAAGTGCTATGTTACTTTAATTGTGGTTGGCAAGTGTATAACAAGTGAAATTATTTTAAATACTTAGTAACATGCCCAAATCTTGCATTTGTGTTGATTTGCAACTAGAAAAAAAGTTGTGATTGTGGAATAAGTAATCACTGGTTTTGGTTGCAACAAAAGGAATTGTACTACAAATCAGCACAAACATACATTGGAACCCTCCACGATCAGCAAATTTTACATGATCATAGTTTCTAACCTATAAATGAAATGTTCACTAATACTATGTACAGGTTGTGGTGCAATCTTGCCCTTGCTATAATTCAGCATTTTCCTTTGTTCTGGTGTATGGTAATACATTATGATGAATATAAAGCAAAGAAAAATACCAAATTGTGCCAAGGGTCAAATTGAACCACAACATACTTATTACACAAATACATGACATTCCCTGTGCAGTTTGCTTTGAATACACGAGGTTTGAGACTGCATGCCTTTCATGCCCTCAAAACACTGATACCTTTTATCTACAAGCATTGCTATATTCATATTTATCAGGTTGTAATGTCATATATTTGTACAGCTGTCAGTGTACAAAGACAAATGTAATAACAATAATTGCATTTGACTCACAAATACCTTTGCTGATATTTCTCTTCGGCATTTGATATGTAGTTGTACATATCAGTTATCAGTTAATACCCTGACAGCATTAAATCTGGCATACACATGCACTGAGACAAAGTTTGTCACAAGTGATTTTTCACAAGCCACACTTTTGTCTTTTTTTGTGCTTCAGGTTAAAGCAACATGTGCTGAGTGTGCCAGACTGGGTGGCATTTAATGGTTAACAGCCTTTGCATTTTAATGGACTGATACAACCAACCTTTATCAGTTGATACTAATTTACAGAAACTATAAACTAATTGAAATTTTCTTGAGTTTTGGAAATGAAGTGTTACCATAGCAATAGTCCAAGCTGTCTGAAACACCATTTATTTTTGCTTTAAGTGCTTAAAACAAAGATAAGCTGGTAAACCCTTATTTCTATCATCACATCATATTTGGAATGTTCAATTTAATTCTACTCATAGTTTCAAAGGCACCTTAAAATGTAAATTTAAAGTGCTGTCACATTGATACCCCTTCTGCAGAACTTTTTTTAAACCTCTGCAGAAAGCTTGAATAACTTAACAGAATAATTTTAAGTAACCTAACAGGAATCACCAAGCTCATTTTGAGTTAACACCTAAAGCTAAAATAAATGGTGTTTTAACAGTTAATATTGTTGCTATGGTAACCTTGTTTGCCAGTGAATTGACATTCCTTTGTAGCCACCAACTGATATAAATGGCTGTGGAAGTATTTAATACATCAAAGCACAAGGGCTCTAAACCATTACATGCCATTTTCAGGACCTTATTAAGAATTCCACATTGATAAACATGTTAAAACCAACAAGCCATGGCTGGTACATGGAAGCCCTTTTTCAAGCACTTCACAACATACCCATCGAAGCAATGAAGGGCTAGCAATAATTGCTTAATAATCTTAACAACCTTACAATTGTTGTAAGTAATTACTAATCCCATTATTAGTAAACTTTTAACAATGTTCAGCATCTGCCTGAAAAACCAAAGTTGTGGAATTCTGAAAAAGGTACTTAAGAGATTATTTTCAATTGACTTTTAACTTAAAGTCCAACTGATACTTCCTTGTTAGCAACATTTGTCAGTTCTCTTGTAACTCATATTATGTTGAGCAATGTGAGCTCTTTTGTCCTATATAGCCTCATTTTAGGGCTTAAGGTTTATTTCTTGTTCATCTTATTTAGATTAATCTGGTGTATACTTTGCTTCCTAATTTTAGCATAAAAATGTGAGTTTTCAAAACTTGATTTGTGGGTAGGCCTAGGGTACATTGTGCCTTTAAGTTACAGCAATATCCAAATGACCAATTTCAATTCTATCAAAAAATAATATGTCAACATGTTAAGTATTACATCATGTGTACACCACTGTAAATTGCAGGAGCCCTGCACCAAATTGTAAGATGTTTGTTGACATACTGGAACCTGTTACTACTTAGACTACTTATACAACAAGCGGTAAGCAAGCAAGGTATTATAGTTATTATAATGGCAATGTGCAAGTTACGTAAAGGATTATTACTAATCAAAATCTATCTACCTTTTTTTGTAGTTTTTCTTTTCTGTTTTATGATTGTAATAGAAATATTTTACATCTTAATATAGTTTTGCTCTAACAGCACATCTACATGTAGCAGTAGCAAATAAAAAGTGGACATCTAGCAGTAGCAAAACAAAAGTGGACAAGACCAGTATTATATATGGCTGGATTCATGGAAAGAATGTTGATGAAAAGTGCATTTCTTTGCAGAAAATTTGCTTTCACCACTCCTAATGGCCTAAAAATCACTCCAAGCAATTAACAAAAGGAATAGGGAAGAACATGAAAAGGAAGATGAAAGTGTAGGAAAATATGACTGTCTACTGTACACTAGGGTGCAATTTCATTAACAGCCTTTTCATAACTCCAGACATATATAAAAACAAAATTATATGTTTCATGAAAAATTCTAAACTAACAGAATTAATAAAATAGAAAATGTGATATTATACTTGTCAACTTTTTGTTGGCACACCAATAAAGTAACTAAGTAGGAACTACACAAGGCATTTGGAGTATTTGCCTTGAATATTATCTAATGTGTATTTTACCCATCTCTGAGCAGGTCATTTGCCTTCTGTGTTGGACAAATTTCTGATAATAATTTTATAATCAAACTACAATAACTACGTTGCAGAAATTAAGATGTGAGGGCAAAGTGGGAGTTTTTGGAGGACAATGGATTGATGCTTTGGTATGCATATAGAAGTAGCTAGATGTCATATTGCATTGACTCTTAAGATTCTACGTGTAGTATCTGTGACAAATATTTACCCGTTATATGACTGTAGTCAATTAAATTACTTTTTGCTGCATCTACCATCCAGATCCTTCCAGTGAGTGTACTTCAAATAACACCTGACAAAAATGAAAACATTAATTTTATACACTTTGCAATTAATTCATACACTTTGCAATTAATTCACACACTTTGCAATAAGCTGTACACTCATTTTAGAACAGTGTGTCACACAAGACAGGGTTCTTACCAGGGTGCAAAGAAAGTCATCTTTACAGCTTGCCCTTTGGACAAGCTTTGGCCAGCATGTACTAGCCTGAAATGCATTTTAACTAACCCCCAAAAACTTTCACAAGCACTAGCAGTATTAATTTATTAATTATGTGTTTTAATTAATTAGCTGCTTTATCAATACTTAGTAACCAGCTTTAATTTAATGAAAGCTTTTGTTAAGAAAAACAAGCTTGAAATTAAACAACTTCCTACTAAACATGATTGTTGTACATTTACTTTTTTTCTCGGAAAATAAGTTGCTCAGGACTTGTAGACGACAATTTTTGTCAATCACTGTTAAGGAGAACAATATTGTCAAGACTGTCTTATTGAAATCAGATTTTACATTGCAGAATGCCAGTCATTTTAGGGTGCTAGAGATGTTAATGTCACAAAATAATACGGCTAAATGATATGTGGTAGTTGTGGCTGCACAATTATAGACAAGAAAATGGGCAAAGAGAAAGGGATTAAAACTGAAGATAATTATTATCTCATATTGTATATGCCTTAACTTGTATTCAGCTGATCATGAAATGTCTTGATTCTTTGATGCACTAGCAGTATGCATAAGCAAGTACTCGCCCACTGAAAGTTTAGTTGAAGCAAATCAAAATGTATAAAATGATCAAGGTAGTGACATCCTTGTGCTATAAATCGAGTGGAGTTAGTTTGAAAACACATTTTACAGTTTCTTCTGAGTTTAACTTCACTTACCAAAATCTAAATGTCATTGTATGTGTCTTTAAGACTGCCCTGAAGACTAAAAACAGAGGAAAATCAATTGAAGTATTTTGTTCTAATTCAAACAGTAGTGTAAACAAAAATATTTTTGAAGTGACTAACCATCCTTTAGGCCTTCTTTCATTGGTATTCTACTTGAGTAACAGCTGAACCAATTATGTTCAAACAAAAATTGGTATTAACTTATACGGCTGTTTACAACATTTAAAAAAAATCAATTCCTAGAACACCAAAGTTAGATAACAAAGCATTACTGAAAGCATTAAAGTGAGCTGTATTTTATTTGGTGATATTTGAGGCTAAAGACATTTTATAACACTAAGACTGATGAGTTAGTGCTTAATGCCTTTGAGAGAATTTTTTGAAAACTTGGTTAAAATGTACATTCTTTCATTGAGACTTACAGTGCAACTGCCCCAACTAATTTAAAGCCACACAACAAAATCTGTGCAAATCGACAAATGAAATCCTTGGCCAATTTGCTAAGAATTTGCTTGGTTGGAGTAGCTGCACAATACTGGTACTTTTGGTGGCTTAAAGAAGAAGGTCACTCCAAAAAAAATTTTTTTTCAACGCTAATAAAAACCTCGCACTAAGTTTAGCCACTCACCAAGTTCCAGCCTCTAAAGTGCGGGTTTTCCTTGTAAAATTCGTCTCCAAAGAAGCCCAAAATTAGGCAATGTTGTCGCCATTTTGAGCAGTACTCAGCAGCCAGGCCGTGTTTAAGTGACGTCATTCGATTCAAGAGATTTTGTCCAAATGGCTTCCGACAAGCTTTTTAACTACCACTCAGTTCTGGCTGCCCTTGAGCCATATTATTTGAGCCAAACATGCTCCAAACCTCAAAAATGATAGCAATGAAGATAGTGAAGTGAATAACTGCTTGGAAAATATACATTTTGCTGACCTTGTCAAGGATGTAAAGTCAGTTGCAGGTTTTTCTCCTTCCCGCCAATTTCAAGTTGGACGGAATGATGTCACAAACACAACTGGCTGCCAAGTACATTTCAAAATGGCAGCCTCGGAAGTTGCTTCTTTCGAAACGAATTTCATTAAGATAGCAGGCACTTCAGAGGCCGAAAATTTGGTGAGTGGATCAGAAAAGCTGAATGTTTACTTCCTATAGGGAAAGACAAAAAAGTAAGCTTTCTGGAGTGACCTTCTCCTTTAAGAAAAATGTATTTTGTTCCAAAGCCACATTTAGCATTCTATGATGTATTATTATGGATAGAATTTACCCAGATTGGTATTAACATCTTGTGAATGGTCTGTCCATATTCCATGGTCATTCTTAAATGGTCTTGAGAAACTTCTCCTGGCTCACACAGCGGTTCTATTCTCACCTGGAGTGTGGCCCCAGGAATTCTGTGGTGGCACAGTGATTTAATCCGATGCAAGGGGATCTGTTTTAAGTGAGGTTAAGGTTAATGAAATATTGCAAGGTTTTCAACCAATCAGAGGGTCAGTTGTCAACAACCCAAAACGAGTCCAGACCTATCAGGCTTAATAAAGATTTATCAAATACTTAAGGCCAAAGTTATCAATTATTAAATTTTGGTGCAAACTCTTGTGGACTCTTAATAACTGGGGTTTTCACTGTACATGCAACGGTCAATGTTTTGGTGTAGAAACCACTGGTAAGAGACATTGATGATGACTAGTCGTCAACAAATGTTTCTCAGACTAGTAGCAAGTGCTACATACCCATAACTCTTTGTTGGTAATAGCTAAAGCAGTTTTCCAGTTAAAAAGAATTGTTTAGTTGTAAATGACTAATTTTTTTACGGCGTTTTGGCAATAATTTATTACTAGTTTTCTACACAGGCTTTTCAGTTATTGACAACTTTTTGTTGTAGTTGTTGACAACAAACTTTCTACATGTAGTAAGCAGAGAAGACAAAATGGCATTAATATTTAAACCATGTAATTTTCAAATGGTTTTGCATAAGTGGACCTTCTGCTAATTTGACCCCCTCAGTTGCTTTGCACTTTTGTGGTCAACAATCACAAAGCAGGAGCAACTGCTGAGGAAAGTCATCTAGTTATGAGGTTGCTGTTAACCCATTATCTCAAATTCGAAGTTTAACTTTCAATTAGGATGCCATCTGCATTTCCAAAATAATCGATAACTGTAACATTATTACTTTAAAGGATCTTGCTGCTATTGATTACCTACAGAGTATTCTGTAACAACAAAATAATATATTATTATTGTTTGCTTACTTCATGTGTAGCTTGTTCATTTCTTATTCTGAACTTTGGGTCTATTTGTTTCACCAACTCAAATTTCACAGTTATGCCATCTTTAAGGCATAGACTGTGAAAGTATTTATTTTGTTGCTGTGATGAATGTTCATCGCCAAATGAAACAAGCTTAATTCCCTGGTTTTCCATTTGTTTGATCCACAATGGTATTCTCGTCTAGAAATGAGAGGGAAGAAAGATAGGTATTTGTTTGAAGTACTCGCAAAGTGTTTTTGTAATTTATTTAAACTTGATATTAAAACTATCAGGATACTGTCTTAAATTAAGGAAAAAGATGGTAGGTGCTTTTCACTGGACTAGAAATTGTGAAACTTTTAAAGCAGAGATGAATGGTACAGAAATTTCCTGTGAAAAATCCTAGAAAATGAATTTTGTAAACGTGTCATTTAACCGTAAATTCTGAGAGCAAAATCAAATAGAAAGGAAATTTCTGGCAACAACTTTTCAAAAATTTGGGTATTTCTTGTGAGGTTATCCTCCTTTCCAGAAATTCCAGAAAATTGGTTCATTCACCACTGGAAATTTCTGGAAATTGAAACCAGAATTTTTGGTTTAATGACAAGTGTCTGATATTTATATATTTTACCATAACTTTTGCCTTTAATCCTGCTTTTTAGTTTCCACAATTTAGACTAGCGTCAGACTAGTGTACTCAGACTTTGCTAGATGTTTGGATCATAAGTGGCAAAATGACTATTAACGATGTACTCGCTAATAACTGTGGTTTTGCATTTACTGTTACTGTCTAGTGAGTTTACTAAACCCATAAAGAAGGTCTTCAAGATATAGCACAGACAAGTACATGCTTTTGTTGAGGTAGGTAAAACTACAGTGTATATATACAAACTTTACATGCTACATACAGTGTGTATATACATAGTTTATCCTTAAAATGAACAGCCGAAGCGTTTAGAACCAAGCCATCAGTTAACACTAATCAAGCTTTAAAGTTTGAGCAACATTCATACATGTTAGGCAGGTTTGTTAATGATTTATTTAAAATTATGTTGACTTTACCTGCTCCAGATTTTCTGTAAAATGTATTGAAATCTGCTGTTCATTTGTTTCTGCATAATTTTGATTTAAGATGAACAGAGTAAGGAGGCAAGGTGCACATGGTATCTGCACTGATGTCTCTGTGTCGCCTGCAAAACACAGAAGCAGTAGTGACTTCTTTGGTATAGTTTTAAAAGAAAAAACGGAAATTGAAAGACTTGCTAGTTAATTTTAGCCGTAAGGAAGTATTAATTTTAGAAAACGCGTGCCCAGTAATGAATATCCATTATGCCTTGTTTTAGTGAAACCTGGTCACATTATTAGATCTGCTTGTAGTAAATGGAGCCGCAGCTAAGCCACTTTTTATTAAGACTGTTTGTTGTTTTGCCGCTTTTTTCGGAGAGCTATACAAATCTGAAATGTAACTGTAGTCTATAGATGCTTCTCTATATTTGAAGGCAGCATCTCAGTAATGTCTACATCTGTGAACCTCTACAAAGTCGCCAAAGACAGTTGAAGTTTTTACATTCTTCATCACTACAGCGACAATACCCTTTCATCGTTACGTTCCTCTTGGACGACTGTTCTGTAGCCGCTTATGAGAGCAATATTAACGTTTCAAGCTAGTCTGAACACTTATTAGGGTGGAGAGTTATTCTTGGTTAAAAGTTGAATGCTGAGAGATACAATAGAGTTACGACAGTCAAATCCCTGCCTACGACAAAGAAACTGATGGCATCTTTGAATATGCTGTGCACAACATGAAAAGGTCTTTAACCTGCTTTTCCAAAAAAAAGCCTGAGATAAATCTTGGAAGAAGACTGGAAATACATTGCTAGTTATCACTGTTAGCTTATTTCGCCTAATAAGAGCACTCGCCGTTTCACTGATTAATTGCATTTTTTAAGTTTGGATAACTACTGGTACACTTCTTGTTTTTGCAATGTTAAAACGAAAGTAGAACTATAGCCTGTGTTTGTGAACTGAACACTTCCTGTTTCAAGTTTAGCTTCAACTTTTTCTCTTCAATTGACAGATTAGGTATTTATTTAAATGAACGTTTTTGGCACAAAAAATGGCCAACTTTCGAGCTGGAGGAAACTGTTATATTATAACGAAAGTGCATTGTATCGCATGGTATCGAACTAGTACTCATAGTAGGTACCTATCCTTGAAAAGAATACTAAACGATAGAAAATGAACAGGATACTTACCTTCTATGGGAATCTTGCTTCCGTCTACTTCCAAAGCAAGCAGAGTGCGTTGATATACAGGTTCACAACTTGTTGCTGATTGATCAGCTGGAGAAGGTTCAGGAGTTTGAGGAACTACGGCCATTCCAGTTGCAAGTGTCCGAAAAAGAGCCGATTCGGTTCCACTAGTGAACGTTGTTGGGCCGGATTCCTCAGTTACCAAATTGATCACCTTGCTACAAATGGGACACTTAACACCATTCACATAGTCCACATCAGTGCCCTTGGTGCAGTTACAGGTCTCCCAATTGATCCCGTCGTGGAACTGTGATGGCTGTAGGATAGATGGGGCTTCTTGAGGTTTGCTGCCATCTTCAACAAGTGTGTGGGATGGCTGGTGTTCTGTTTCTCCCCCTACCGCGAATAGTTCTCGTTGTGAGCTTGTGTCTCCGCTATCAGAGACTCCACTTGCGTCGTTTGGAACTCCATCTCCCATCTAAAACAGAATGAAACTATTTTTAAGCACTTTGTCTTTCGGTTCACGCCGGTTTCGCTATACCTGTCGAGTCTGCGACGTTCGAGTTCGATATATGTTCGCTACCTACAGGCTAACTGAGATTTGCTTGGGAGTGAATGGAAAAACGAGGAATAATCTATATGTACGTGAAGTCTTAGGCTGATATATTTTTATATATTTTTGTTTCGCGAAATTGTAGTTTTATCGATAGTAGCGAACGCGAATTAAATAGGAAGCGAACTAGAAGTTGTGGGTAGCGAACATGTAGCACCTCGAACGTAGCGAACCCGATAGGTACCGAAACCGGCTGTTACCTCACAAGGTGATATATTAGCAGAAAATTCGACAAGTGGTTAGAAATAAAGATCGTTATGATACGGAAGATATTGCACAAATGGAAACCCGACGTTTGCATCTAAGTAGCCCCTTGCATTCCGACATAAGCAGTACGTATATAGTCGAAAGTGAAAGTGGTATACTTCCGGGCCTTCTTGGTCGCCCTTCTTGTTTCGCGATATATATGCTGACTTTGTAAACTTCTTAAGCGCAGTGGAAGACAAACTTAATTGAAAAGAACACCTTCAATTACCGTATTATCATGTCCTGTATCGTCCGTATCCATTTTGCTTTCTTTCTGTTGAACTGATCTCTCTGATTCTTTCCTCGAAGTGTTTTTTACTGTAGACGTCATTGGCTTTTATCAACAAGATCGTTGGGCATTGTTTTTCTTAAATCTTGATTGGTCCACAGGTATGAGGGGAAAGCCCCTTGAAAACGAAAGCGGTTGATCTCACAGCCCAGTCGGGCTGGATTTTTTCAGAAGATATAACGTTAAAGGTGCAACGGTTTTAATGCTTCTTTCGTGAAATTCTCACGTTCATATCATTGAGTTCCTTGGAGCAGCAGTGTTTGGATAGTAACGGATAGTAACGGCAAGACTTATTGGCGTGACCTGAAGTGTGTCACTACCGTCCATATTCAGTGATATACCCTCTTTGCACCGTCGAAGGAAAAGAAATGAGGATTTATCAAATAGACAACTGTATTTTCATCTGTTTCTTGGTAAGTAGTTTGTCGTTTAATTTCTGAGGGGAACTGAGTGAAACTGAGGATGTGCCTTACTAAAAGATCATTTAAAACTGGAGGTTCGATTATTTGAATGTGAAAATTATTTTAGGTCTTCCTAACGATCTCATTTGCGACGTTAAACCCTGGTAGCTGAATATTTCAGTCTAAACTGCTTCTACTTTTTTAAAATAATATCTTACACACTTGAGCCTTTTAGTCACAAGCTGTAACATGTTTTATAGCTTGATT